TTGAATACAAAGTTTGGGTCGACGCAATTATTTTTCCTAAGTTAAACAAAAGCAAAGGGATGAAAATCAGTTACTTAACTTTTTTTTAGCTAGCTCGTTTTTTTTTTTGTTGTTTACCAGAAAGTCCCAAACATTCACACTTGCAAGTATGGAGGGCTTCTTGTAGATTCCAGTTCTGAAATTCCGTCGTTGCTGTATTTTGCTTTATGAACATTGTAAAACCTAACCTAAAGACAAATATCCAAAGACTGCATTTCATTTCGAGTCTTATTTCCAATGCACGACTTTACAAGATGCATCGTTACTTACCTACATGAGGACGAATACTCCAGATGAAAATATTCAAAGACAACCTTTAGAGCCATGTTGGGTGCAATGGACACCCTATAAACACAGGTCATATCGTTCGGGTAATTACTCGGGTACCCGGGGCTTTTCAGTGTATTGTTTACCACAGAACCACAGCCTGCAGGAGCAAATCAGTCAAAACGTTTTATATAATAAGCTGCATTATGCATGGACTTTGCTTGGTTCTTACTTGCGTTCTACTAGAGGACCGACGCACAGATGACGGCATCATTAAATAACTTTTTCCTCCGTTGCTGTTGTTGTTGTTTTTTGTTTTAAATGGCGGAAAGTTTTGAAAACTTAAAGGACATTTTACAGAGTGGCCGAACGAAGTCTTTCCGTGGCTGTGGATTAATTCTAAAAGGAAGAAGAAGAATTAAAAAAGGAAGAAACGTTTCTTTGTAGAAATGATTAAAACAAAAGACTCGAGGAGTCTCAGTCGAGCGCCACAAAACAAAACACAAGATGTTTCTTTATTATATAAAACAAATAGATTCCATGTTGCCGTGCGTCTGTTCAGTAATAGATTACAGAACTGACAAAATGTGTTAAGAGTGCATCCCCAATAGGACCAGGCAGAAGCGGCACAAGCCATCTCACCCATTTCGATGAAACGTGGCCAGTTTGAAGGGGTTCACCCAAAACTACTTCAGTCTAAGTTTAAGGAAATTTGGTCAAAACCGGGGGGGAGTTGACCACCCCCCTTGTTTTTTCAACAAAAATGACCAAAAATANGGGGGGGGGGGGAGTTGAGCACCCCCTTGTTTTTCTTTTTTTTTTACAAAGATGACCAAAAATCACCTAAAAATGGTCAAAAGTATAAAGCTCTACCGCTATAATAGTTCAACCAAGTCTTTTCAAATTTTCATTGAGTTTTGTCCTACCCAACGACAATCTATTTTCTACGTTTCGTTTTTCGGCGACTAGTTCCTATCACACAAGTCGTTTCAGCCAAGACCCCCATCGCACCCAATAGTGACAACTGTTAAAATACCCAAAGATTAGGCCGAAGTATCTCCAATGTCGGAGCACGCTTAAAAATACAGAGCATACCGTCTAAAAGCTGGGACTTCATTCTAACATTATCTGCAAAAAAATATTTCAGCTCTCACTGAATTATTCCACAGGAGGGCTCCAAACACCTCGTCCACCACAGATGACCGGCGGAATTTTTTTCATTATAGCACGCAAATTTGGTAATTATAACACAGCAACAGACTGAAAATGCCACAAAATGGTTACATACCAGACACTTTAATGAAATTGCAATTGACCCATTTCTATCTAATAGCTTAAAAAAGAAAAAAAGAAAACTTCGTCCACCACAGGGTACCCACGTCAATTTTTTGGTTTTCATTTATAACGCTCTAATTCGGTAACAATGACATAGCAACAGACAGAAAATGCCGAAAATAGTTACACACCATAAACTTTAATGAAATAGAACCATTTCGAAGGCTTTTGTTTGTCGTAAGCCATGAGAAT